AAGTGCCTTTTCAAAAGGAAGCTCGGTTGGGGCAACAAACTAGGGTTAGGTGCCTGATCACACTCCAAAAGCAATTGCTGTAGACGAGAAGTTAGTAAACTCATGAAGCCAACAGAGATGCTTTTCTAGAACGAAAGATGTTGCTGTGCATACGTAGCCGCCATCCTCAGGTCTTGAAGAACTCCAGCCGCGAAAGGATGTGCAACTCGGTGCTGAGCAAGCACGATGCAGACTTAGCCTCCAAAGACGACCTGAGCCAAGAGGGCAAAGATGTGGCCGCAGCCTATGTTGGCCAAGACTTGCAACTTCTCTGGACCCAAAAAGGCGTCGACTCCGAGCTGGGCCGGAATTACAGCTGGCTGCAGCCAAAGCCGGAGGCTGGGGAAGAAGTAACCGAGCAGCTCCTGCAGCTTCAGCCCAACATCCGGAAGAAGGCGCTCCAGGAAGGCTGGTTCGAAGAGAGGGAGCTCGAGAGAGCTTCTTTCATGCAGATTTGGCAGACAGGTGGCAGCTGCGACCCCGAAGAAATGAAAAGATGCACTGATGACATGAAGCAATGGCGCACCAGTGTTTGTGCCAAGCAGGAAGGCTGGCGTCACACTCGCATGGGGAAAAGTTTCGAGTGCAAGGAGATGCAGGCCACCAAGAATAGGAAGATGGCTAGAAGCCCGCAGGAATGCTTCGACGCAGACTACGGCGTGGGCACGGAGGCAATCAGGTACTACGTCTTCCATTACAACAAAGGGAACCGAGAGCAGCCCATTTCGTGCTACGCAGAGACAGAGGAAAGGTCTTGCACACTGAAGGAAAAGCGAGCCTTGTTGACAGAGGCCACTGAATTTGACCGGATTTGGTTCTGGATCGATGCAAAAAGCACTGCCAAAACGGCACCTGCACTTGCTTAAGCTCTGCGAGCCGAAGAACATGTTTCGATCTGCCGAAGTAATGAAGCAGCCAACCATGACCTTAGTGTGGCATGGACCTGGACTCAGCTTCCGTATTCTTGCTACAAAACACGTAAAGCTCGTTGAGCATGCCATCCGGGCAGGTGCTTCCCGCAGTTTGGAGCGGCCCAATGCCGGCTGAGAGAGCTCTTGGTTGGGAAGCTCATGTGATTGGGAACCTCTTCATTCTATTGCTCTC